AGAGAGAGAGCAAGAGTGTGAACACAAGCAGGGGAGCAGCAGGAACAGGGAGAAGCAGGCTTCCCGCTGAGCAAGGAGCCCAATGTGGGACTCGATCCCAGGACCCCGGGATCATGACCTGAGTCCAAGGCAGACAATGAATTGACTGAGCCACCCAGGTGTCCCTCAGTTGATTTTTACAGAAAACATAAGTTGATTCTGAAATGTATATGGAAATGCAAAGTCCTAGTCTGCTCAAAGTAATTTGAAAAAGAAGAAAGTTTGAGCACTTAAACGTTATCTGATTTCAAGACTTAAAGATAACTTATAGTAATCAAAATAGTGTGGTATTTTTGTAAAGATAGATATATATATACCAATGGAACAGAATAGAAAGCTCAGAAATAGATCCACATATACAAGGTCAATTAATTTTCAACAGAAGGCTAAGGATATAGAAACAGATCAATGGAATAAAATGAAGGGGACAGATCTACCTATATATAGGCCATTAATTTTAGGCAAAGACACCAAGGCAGTTCAATTAGAAAAGGAAAGTCTTTTAATTAATGGTGCTGGAATGCCTGAATAAACATACTGATAAAAATGAACCTCCACCCCTACCTCATACCAAGCCCAAAAAAGTTAATTCAGGATGGATCATAGATCTCCACTCAGAGCTAAAATTACTAAGCTTTAAGAAGAAAACATCAGAAAGTACCTTTGTAACAGTGAGGTAGGCAAAGATTTCTTCGACACAAAAATCACTAAACATAAAAGAAACAAGTAATAAAACTGGATTTCACCAAAAATAAAACTTCTACTCATTGAAAGACACAAGTAAGAAAATGGAAAGACAAACTACAGACTGGGAGAAAATATTCACAATACATATATCTCACAAAGGACTCCTACAAAAATACATAGTAAAGTACAGTTGACCCTTGAACAACATGGGTTTGAACTGCATGGGATTTTTTTCAATAAATATATGTACAGAGGTGTAAATATATTTTCTCTTCCTTCAGATTTTCTTAACATTTTCTTTAGCTTACTTTATTGTAAGAATACAGTATGTAATCATATATAAAATATGTATAAATTGTGTTGTCAGTAAAGCTTCTGGTCTCTCTCTATATATATGTATATATATGAGAAAAGTGCTAGCATCATTTGTTATCAGGGAAATGCAAATTAAAATCATTGTCGGACATGATTTTATATGCACTAGAATAGCTAAAATTAAAAGGGCTGACAAAGGCAAGTGTTGAAAAGGGTATGGAGCAACCAGAACTCTCTTACATTGTTGGTAGGAATGTAAAATAGTACAATCACTTTGGAAATCTGGCAACTTCTTGTAAAATTATACATACCTCTGCCCTATGACCCAGCAATTCTACTCCTAATAATTGCCCAAGAGAAATTAAAATATGTCCCAAAAACACTTGTACAAGAATGTTTATAACAACCTATTCATAATGCTAAAAAGCTGGAAGCAATCCAAATATCCAACAAAATAACCAAAAGAAAGAATAACCAAATTGTGGCATAGTCTATGGTCACAAAAATCAGAGCAATAGTTGCCTAGGGGAGGTAAGAATTGTCTGGAAGGAAAGAGAAGGAAAGTTTCTGGAGCAATAGAAATGTTACATATTGTAATTGGGGGTATTGGTTGCCCTAGCATAATGGTTACATAAGTATATACATTTGTCAAAACTCATTGAATTGTATACTTAAAATAAATTTCACTGTAGGTAAAATCTTACATCCAAAAAAGAAAGAAGGAACTTATATAGTTAAAAGAGAAATGGTTATTTCTATGGACAGTACTATATATATTACATATATATTTGATTATATGTATGACATAAAATTGAATGCATGCTTTTTTTCAACACGCATCTACTGTGCATCTACCATGGGTCAGCCATTGTGATAGTTGCTGGGGTATAAAGATAATTAAGAGAAAGTGGTTGGACTCAGAGAACTCAGCATCTAGCAGAAGCCATAAAAGCACAGGAGATAAGTACCAATGCAAAAATGGATGCTAAGTGCAAAGGAGGGCTGAGGAAGTGATTCTGACTTGTTAGGGTTGAGAGATGGGACCAAAGAGCGAATAAACTCGTAAGGGAAGAAAGGATTTGGGTCAAGAGAACCTCATGAACTAAGTAAGGCACAGAAACATGTGCCTGTAATGACGTGTTTGTAGAATCTTAATTGGCCCAAAGTGACTACAGTAACAGGAGAGGGTACCATGATGGGAGACAGTGTACTTTAATAATGGGACCAGATCGTACAGGGTCGTAAAATGCCATACTACACAGGCAGATTTATAGGCACTAAGGGGCCACTGGAGGCTTTTAGACAAGAATGACATCAATTCTGTTTCTTTGTTTTTAAAAAAATGTATCTGCTAGTAGTAAAGAAGAATTATTAAAGTTGGGGAGAGACTAGAGGCAGAAGGAAGAGATAGAAAGGGATTTCAAGAATCCAGGGTCATTTATTTAAAATTCTTACCCACTAGAATTTTGTGATTAAATATTTTTATTTAATATTTAATAATTTTTATTTATTATATTTAATATTTAATATTTACTTCTTTTTTCTTTTTCTTTAAAATTAACCATAGGAATCCAGAAACATTTTGGACCACAACAGGAATGTTTCCCCAAGAGTTCATTATTTGTTTTCACAAACATGTAAGGATTGAAAGGCTTGTAATCCAAAGTTACTTTGGTAAGCAAATAATACATTAATATTCACCATCTTTTAATTTTCCCATAGGCAGAGGGCACATATGTAAACTTTGGCAAAACACTAACTTTTCTTTGCAGCATGGAACCCAGTTTTATGGCTGGGGTGGGAAAGTGGGGAATATGGGTTAACTGCCTTGAGCACAGTTAGCTTCTCTAAAATTGCAAATTTGAAACCCTTCCAAAGCGCATAATAATTTCCATGCAATTTACTATGTGAAAATCTTTGGCAAAAAACCCTATTATGAACATAAGAAGCCAGCTTGCCAGAACACTAGGTTCTTCAACATCTTTATTCCAGATTAATTTGGCTTGGGGTTCTCTGTCAAATTCTTTCTGAAAATCTGATAACTTTGATTATTTGCATTGGATAATTTTTATTCTTCTATTAATAATGGCATTTTCTGAGGGATTTAGGAGGCGACTCTCTCTTTGGAACATCATTCTAATCCTGTCTTGTGTTTATTTAAGGATAAAGTATTTCAGATAAAATCATGGCAGGAAAGAATACATCCCAGATGGTTCAAATGAAAAGGCTTTATTGATGGGATTACTTACAAAGTTATGGTCTGGGTAAGGGAACAAACCAGGGATGGTGAGAACGCCCTGAAACTAGCCACAGCAATAAGCCATTACCACCCCTGGGATAAGGGATGGAAATTGTGTTACCAGAGCCTAGTGAGAGCTAGAGTCTGTGCTGCCCGGCAGCAGCTGTAATCATGAAGGGACCCAACCACTGTCAAAGACAGGGCACGGAAGCAGGAAGGGCGTGGAGAAAAAACAACGTGATCTCATTTCGCCACTGCCCTCCAGTTTCCTCCCAGTGCCTCCCATTGGCCAAATCTGACCAGAAGCCATGGTGCAATCCAAAGGGGTCCTCCCCGCAGGACACAGAGAAGAATGGTTCTGCGATAGCAGGATCTGGGTTAGGGGTAATGGAGAGAAAACAATGCAGAAAGAAGATGCGTGCATTCTGGTTAAGTCTCTCTACTGTCATTAATTGTAGAGGCTCTGGAGTCAGACCCACCTAAAGTTTGAATTCCACTTCTGGCCCTTGCTAGCTCTGTATCATTGAACACTTTGCCTGACTTCTCTAAGGTGCTGATTTCTCTAAGCCTGTTTCCTCATCAGTAAAGTGGATCAGTAATACTTTTTCTTATAAGATTATAGTCAAGAGTGAATGAGTAAATATGCCTGACTCACAGTAGTTTCTTCATAAGGGTTTATGACCAAGATCAAGATCACTAACAGTATTATTATTATTATTATTATTACTATTACCAGTACACAAAAAACTCTGGATGATACCAAATTCAAAAAGACTCTACTTTGTATTATGTGCTTTGCCAACATTTATAAGATTACAGTGACACAAGACTGCATTTTACCATAGGGCCCTACAGAAAAACAGTATGTGAATGATTTTCAGAACATGTATTTCTGATCCCAGTACTTTGTACAGTCCCACCAGTGCTTGACACTTTCAGACAGAGAAAAAAAAGGAATATAGGGACAGCAACATAAAATCAGGTAGGTAATTAACACTTTATTTATTTTGTTTACTTACAATGTCAGTGAGGACCTTGAGGATTGAAAAGAGCACATCTAAAGAGCCAATTGATTTTGAGCCATGGATTGAAAGAGGTATGTGCTTTTTCACCAGCATTGTTCTGGGCATGAGAGAGTAGAGAATTGTCCCTGATTCTGTATTTCCAATTGGGCTGCATTTTGGTGAAAAAAAGATGACTCCGGTGACTCTATTTAGAGCCTAGAAAAACCTAGGTTTCAACACAAGACTGTTTCTTCACTTGCTGGTTATGTAATGTTAGCATGTTAAGACTTAATTTTTCTGAGTTTCAGTATCCTTATCTGAAAAATGGGGACAGTAACCTACCATTTAAGGTTTTTGTGAACATAGTATCTACCATATTATATGGTAGACAATAAATATTAGTTTCTTGTCTTTTCTTCTTTCCTAATGGTACTATTTAAATATCATCAGTAGAATTGCCTCTAGTTAAATACAACATGTTGCTTTCATGTGTCTATTTCCTTTCCTTCCCAAAATACCCTGAAATAATAATAAAGGAATAGAAGGAGGCATAAACCTACAAGGACAAAAACTAAAAACAAACAGAAAACAGAAGACCAAAGAGGATGTGAGGGGTTAATCTATATTATGGAAGAGAGGACACAGATGGAAGAGAAGTAACTAATGTAACTGAATGGAGTAGGTTATAACCTAAGTGCCCTCCAAGGAGAATATCATTGTAAAGCAAGCCAGTTTGCCCAACAAAACCCCAGGAAGGTCTAGAATTTGAAGGCAGAAGTCACCATGGAAAGTTCCAGTGAGACATGGACCAGAAAACAAGGGTGATTAGTTGAACATCTATATACAGAGTGTTTGACCCTAGAGTAAGTTCTCCTGTCCCACAAAGCTATATGACTCCTCTTTCCTCCCACAAACCACCTGCAAGGGATAACGAGGGACACTGAATGTTGAGGTCAGAACTCAGGGAGACCAGACATAGTAGAAAAGTAAGTGAGACGTGGAGTTGAAAACGGGATTTAAGTGGAAGCCTACTTATTGAATGGTGAGAACTCCTCTGTGCTCTACTGTTTATGACAGTAATCAAGAATATAGCCCCAGCCAGGAGACTAAATATTTTTGGAGAAACCAAATGGCTCCAGAAAAAAGATCTATGGATACTGACAATGGCTAGCTCATTCTTGGTCACTCTATTGAAGTCCTAGTCAGTGAGCCTGGTTCATGAACGCAGTTTTAAAATGATTTATTTATAAGTAACAAAAGATAGCCAAAGTCACCAGACATTTGATGACTGCCTCAAACCCTGAATATAATCAAGCCTTTAGCTCTAATTCCAGTATAAGGAAACAGAGGATAGAGGAATAAACGTAATGAAACCATGAAGAGGCAGGATGACAAAACGTGGGACATTCTACAGGAAAACTGACCTGTCTCTTCAATAAGTCAGTGACATGGGAAAAAAATGTGTGTTGGGGAGAGAAAGCAGTTCAATATTAAAGGAGACTTAATTCTGATTTGAATAAACCAACTATAAAAAGACATTTTGGGGACAATTGGGAATTTGAATGTGGACTAGGTATTATATGATATTAAAGCATTTTTTAATATTGGTATGATAATAGTATTATGGTTATGTAAGAAAATATCCTTATTATTGAGAGATGGATAATCAAATATTTGGAGGTGAAATGTCATGTTGTCTTAGATTTTCTTTAAAATACTTTAGCAAGGGGCACCTGGGTGGGTCAGTCAGTTAAACATCTGCCTTCGGCTCAGGTCATGATCCCAGAGTCCTGGGATCGAACCCTGTGTCGGGCTCCCTACTTAGCAGGGAGTTTGCTTCTCCCTCTCCCTCTGCTCCTCCCCCCACTGCTCGTGCTCTCTCTCGCATGCGCTCTCTCTCTCTCAAATAAATAAATAAAAACTTTTAAAAAATAAAATACTTTAGCAAAAAAGATTCCATAAATCAAGTATAGTGAAATGTTAGTAATGATAAAATCAAGATGATGGGTATATACAGAAATTATGTTGTGTCTTCTTGATGTGAAATTTTCCAATTTTTCATAATTAAAAAACTAAGCAATGAAAGAAGAGGTTATTATTAACTCCTGGTAGAGGAGGAGTTGTATAAGAAAGAAAATGGGATCATAATTCGATACTTATTTCAGCAGTAAATAACATTTACATAGGCAATAATGTAACTGTCAAGTATTGATTTCAAAATTGAGAGGATGGCAAGAGGGAAAAGTTGTAGGAGGAGGAAGAGGATATTGATCTAAGAGACCTAATTTTCTCCTACCATAATATAAAGTCAGTAAAACATTGATAAATCGAGAAAAGGAATATAAACATGTTACAATTCTAGGGAAAAAAAAGCTGAAGGAGTTGAAAATATTTGCCTCTCAGGAGCAGGACTGAAGGTGAAAGAAAGGATCAAGCAGGGGATTACCATTCATTACCTCAGAGAGAGGTTAGGAAACAGAAAGTCATGCACCATCTTACTTCCCAGAGACTACCCTTTTTGTAGTATGTGCCTTTAAAAATTATGTGCACTCACTATTCTAATACAAATAAAATTAATTTCTAAATAATGTCAGTATTTATTATTATATCAATCAAATATTTCATGTTTCTAAAAGAATGATATGATTAACTCGTGACCAACTAAGTTAATCTGTTTTAAAATTATATAAGTAAAGTCTTTCTAAAGTTGGATAACAAAAAAGATCAGTTCACAGGCAGCATAATTCAACATCACGGTAAAAAGTCCGCGTGAGAAACAGAGCTGTAGTCATTACCCATGAGAGTGGTAATAAGATGGCTCCTTTCAGGCCTGTAATAACTGTTAGTGGCTTGATCCTTAAGAGGGATTTCCACATTTTATCAATTCCTTACTTTATATTCCTTTACTCTGATTTACATTTCCTTTTGTTTATACTTGCTAGAGATGTTTTGGAGCTCACAGTTTATCTTTCATGCCTTTTACATCAAATATTCCTATTTTGATATTGAATTTTAACCTCAAACCCTGGTAAGTCTAATCTAACTATGGTTTACCAGACATCATATTTTGCTGAGCATAAATTTCAGTAGCTGTCCTCATGTATTTTGAACCCTAACTCATTTCTGTTAAATTTGTGTTTTAGATCTAGTCCACACAGAGGGGCAGCTTCAAAATGAAGAAATTATGGTAAGTCGATATACTTTGTAGAGATAAACATTATCTTTAGTCAGCACAATGTATTTACATTTTATATCTATCTCCGTAGTCATAAAGTTAATATTCCTGTGATATGTTATAGGTTCTATACCTAATCAACAAATAGAGGTTATCCTCAATAATACTATAATCTAATAAAGCATGCATAAAGGCATTTATCTGTCATAGAATAACAGCAAGGATAAAACAATTCACTTACTTGTTTTTATTTTGTTCATTTATTTTGAACATATACTTGCTTTGCTTTCATTCATTTGATTCTGTAGGCCTTTTAGAATAGGAATCAAAAAAGGTTGAGATGCCAGAATCTGATGTTAATTTAAGCATGAAAGGACAAGGGAGATTCACATAAGGGGAACTGGAGCATAGGATCAGCAACAAATAAGCCAAAGAGAGATGAGGTGGAAAGAGAACCAGCATTTTTCGACAACATTCCATTGGGCTTTGCTTGTCAAGTGGAATGAATGGCCGTTGATGAGGAAGCTGCTGCCTCATCAGGAGTTTCTCTGTTCCTGCTAGTTTATCAGGCCCTGGTTTTAGACAAACACAAAAAAGTGAAACAACTGAATGTGTGGGCTTTTTTTTTTTTTTTTTAAGGTGGTAGTGTTTGTTTCATTAAGGTTTTTCTAAATGAGGCTTAAAGAGGAACCTTGTCCATTTAAGTTTCCTTCTTCACAACTTACTGGGCGCTGCCATGAAATCTATGCTTCAAAAGATTCTGTAGGAAGTTTTTGAATGCTAGTAATTATCTTCTCCACCACCCAAATATGCCCAATGACTGGAGAGGCCAGTGGGGGCCAGAAAAATGATTAATTAGACTGAATTTTATCTGCCTGTTTTTCTCCATCTTTATTAATGGGTTATGATTAGTAAGCCTCTGCTAAGTATTTTGTTTCAGGACTCACTGTGAATCAAGGAGCGTTCCAACATTATAGAACATTTGGAAAATAATAAGGGGGAGTGGGCAGCTGGAAGTCACCCATGATTTTATTACCCTGCCTGCCACAAGAGCTTTTATTACACTTATTTTCTTCTAGTTGTCAATGTGCATCACCTAGTTTAATAGTAAAAATGAAGAGTTTTGTATCTTTTTAAACAATATTATATTACAACTTCATAATTATAATTTTAAAATGAAATGTATGAAGACAGGCAAATGTTCACTAATTTCACTTTTCCTCCCTCTGTCATTATAAGTAATACTACAGGGGACATCTTATGCATGTTCTCACTACCATGATCTTCACCTTTTAAATTACTCCCTAAGATTAAATTTCAAGGAATGGAATTACTGGGTCCATCAGTTTAGACATATTTATAGCTGCTTATGTATATTGCCAAATTGCTTTCCAGAGAAATTATATAAATGTAAAAGTATAATAATGTTTCAGGGTAGTACAGTCAGAGGAATCATCAAACAAAGGAAGTCTCCTAACATGAAAAATACTTTAGAAAGACACTTGTAAAAAATTAATCAGAAATGTAAAGTTGCAATTTTTAGTTCCACCTGCTATTTTTCATCAAACCAATGCTGATATTTGCCTGATGATACTTCAGAGCAGCAGTACTGTTATATGCAGCTGTCTTCTCTTCTGAATATTATATCTTATATATTATTGTATATTTAGGATATTATTTTTGCATCAAACCCTTTTTTCTGCTAACTGCTGTTTAACAAATTAACTAGAATTGCTAAAAGCTTCCATATTGATTTTTCCTTTGCAGACCCGAGATGGCCACGCCACTTATTTGAGATTCATTATTATATCAGCCTTTGATCATTTTGCATCTGTGCATAGTGTTTCTGCAGAGGGACTAGCAGTCTCAAATCTTTCTTAGTAATTATAACAAAATACTCTTGCATGGTTTTTTAACAATGTATTTATTGAAACATGAAGTTGTCATTGATGTGCCTTATTAAAGGGATTTGTATTAATCTGTTTCAGTTTTTAATTTCTCTTCAACATTTTGTGCAAAGGAGTTTGGTTCATTAGTCAGGAGTGATGGCCACCATGTAGACTATAAGAAAGCTCTCACTTCAGTGTACAACTTAATGAAGGAAATGACTATATATGAAAACTTAACTGTTAAAAATTGTGTCCTCACAGCATCTCACAAGGTGCCCTTCAGATCTCAGTGCATTAATTTTTTTAGCTTCAGTGCATTAATTTTTTAATTTATTGATTGATGAAAAGGGCTAAGTGAGCAATATAGACAGTAAATGTGTGAGTTCAGAAAAGAGAAAGGACTTATGGGAAGGTTTCATGGAGGCCATGGAACTTGAGCTGGGCCTTGTCCAAAAAATTTTATTTTTTTCTTTTAATTTAATTTTTGCCTTGATTTGAAAATCTCAGAGAAGAATTAGGAAAAAAAACAATCTGACTTCCCACAGAGAATCATTATTAATATTAATTGATTTTTTTTGTATATGTTGGGGAGGTAGGGAACAGGATAGGACAGATTGAAGAAAAATAAAACTTTTCTGAATATACTTTATATAGCTTGACTTTTGAAAACATAAGTAACTAATATAGCCAAAAATTAAAACAAAAAAAGTCCAGAATATTGAAAACAAACAGAAATGCACGAACCTAACTTTATCACAAGTTGATAAAATAAACACACAGGAAACAGTGGCATTAGAACATAGTATTTTGTCTGTGTGGTTCATATTAGTTTCTGTCATAATAATGTACTATAAACTTGGTGCCTTAAAACAATAGAAATTTATTGTCTCACATTTTTAGAGGCTAGAAGTCAGAAATTGAGGTATTGACAGGGTTTGTTCCTACTGGAGGTTCTGAGGTAGAATCTGTTCCATGGCTTTCTCTTAGATTCTGGAGTTGCTGGCCATCCTTGGCATTCCTTGGCTTGTGGCACCATAGCTCATGTCTGCCTCTGCCTTCATATGGCATTCTCTCTGTGTGTCTTCACATCATCTTCCCTCTGTGCATATCTCTTTCTGTGTATCTCTTCCTCTTCTTATGAGGGTATCAGTCATATTGAATTAGGGCCCACCCTACTCCAGTATGGCTTCATCATACTGTAACAATCATATTTTCAAGTAAGGTCTCATTCACAGGTACCAAAGATTAAGACTTCAACATGTCTTTTTGGAGACATAGTTCAACCCATAACATAATCTTAGTGAAGTATGTTTGTGATAGTTAATTTTATCTGTTACATAGACTGGGCCACAATGCCCAGATGTTTGTTCAAACATTCTGAATGTTTATGTGTGGGGTATTTTTGGGAGGAGATTAGCATTTAAATTGGTAGACTTTGAGTAAAGCCGATGGCCCTCCATCCCATCAGTTGAAGACCTTAATAGAACAAAGATTGGCCTTTCCTGGACAAGAAGGAATTCTGCCAGTAGACAGTGCTCAGACTTATACAACAATCTCTCCAGCCTGTCAGCCAACCCTACAGATTTTGGACTTGCCAGACTTCGTAATCATCTGAGCCAATTTCTTAAAATCAATCTCTCTCAGTCTCTGCCTCTCTCTCATTGTTTTCATATTTCCATATATATGATGGGAGGCCAGGGAGACAGTGGCCATTGCTGCTGTAACCTACTACAATTAAACACTCTATGCTCCTGATGTGATGCAATAGGAAGCACACAGGCCAACCTCTGAAGTCCTTTTGCCAAAGTTACTGAGCCTGAATTGAATCAAGTTCTAGAGTTAGCTTCCATTTTTCGGGAAATACAGGGATGGAAAAACAAGTAAAATGACACCACAGGGCAGCAAATAGACTAGTAGCCATTTTGTAGCTCACCGAAATGCCCAGAACTGTGCCCTTCCTGCACATGGTGAGATAGACTTCCTGGCCTTCTTTGTTTGGGTAGGGCCATGTGACCAACTGTGGGCAATGGGATGAGGGGAAAGTGGTAGCTAGGCCTGCATGAGGTCCTTCAAAGCTCTTTTCTTTCTCTGTCACGATGACCAGCAATGATGTTCTGCACAGTAACTACTTCACCAGTCTAGGTCTGGAAGTGAGCCTGACGATAGCAGGGAGCAGAACTCTCAATGTGAGATGGACATACAGAAAAAAAAACGAAGCTTCATTGTTTTAAGCCAATGAAATTTGGACTATGACATGGCTTATCCCAACTGATTCACAGACAAATCTAGAATATAGCTTATCCTACAGAACAAGTGACCTGGTTTCTTCAACAAGTCAGTGGCATGAAAAATGGTAATTAATCAAGGAAGGTGTCCACTCTAGATTCAGAAAGACATCAAGAGCCCCAATAGCCACATGCCATGTGGGGATGTTATTTGGATACTGATTTGACAAAACAACTGAAAATCAGACATTTTAAAGATATTTGGGGAAATATGCTTATGGATTGATTACTGTTCATTTTGCTAGCTGTGTTACTGGCATTAAGCTTAGGTAAGAAAATGCTTGTATTTTTCAGAGATGCATATCGAAGTATATAGGGGTAAAATGCCCTGATATCTGGGATTTGCTTTAAAACATTTAAGCGGATTTTTTAAGGGAAAAGGTGTTAGTTGAAACAAATATGGCAATAAATGATTAGATCTGGGTGGTGGATATATGGAACTTTACTGCACCCACCTCTCTGTGTATGCTTGACAGTCTTCATAATAGAAAAATAAAAATCAGTACTGCTACTGAGGGTATCTTTGTGCAAAAATCTTTGCCTGCCCCTCAAATGATTTCCTTAGAGGAGATTCCCAGAAGGGAATTGGTCAAAGTTAGGAACAGTTTTAAGATTCTTAATACTTCCTGATAAACCACTTACCAAGATTTGTTGCACAAATTTACTCTTAGAAAGATAGGTTTTAGATACATGGAGGAGAGTAAGGTATTTCAAGAGCAATGTTGGTGTGATCGAAGATGTGAAGAGGAGTACTCTGTCATCAAACACATTTGCGGAGTGATGAATATTTAAGTCTGACTAGGGCAAAGAATAAGACTAAAACCATACATTACAGTCAGATCATAGAGAGCTTTTAATGCTTTCAAATATTTTCCCTTAACACTGGAGCCATTTAAGGCTTTTGAGAAGGAAGGTGACTTAGAGCAATTGTGTTCATGTTCAATAAAATGAAATGCTAAGGATTTTCTTTTGGCCAACTTCCTAAACTGAAATGTCAATGATTCTTTGTGTAAGAAACAGTGTTAAGGCTCGCAGATTGCTGGAAGGGATCTCCAGGGGTTGTCTGATTGATCTCTTTGGCACAGGCCTAGTAAATTATCTCTAAGCCTTTTTTCTCTGTGTCTGTCTTCTGTGGATGCAGAGAACAAGTTATCAGTGTAGTGCTTGTAATACCACTTTATGCTACTTAAAAACAGCAGTCTTTAACCTTCGCTTTCCTGGACTTTAAAAATTCATTTCACCTTATAAAAACCTCTCCAAATTTCAAGCAATAGGTATAATAATATGTGGCTTTATCTTTTTTCTTTTTTCTTCACTGCTGAACCCATCATCTTTTTAAAGTCTCATTTGTTCCCAGCTGGCTTCCTTGATCCCCCTTCATCCCTCATTTGGATTTATCTCCACCTACCCACTGACTCCTGACTCCCATTGTGCTGTGTGTGCTCTGGGATTGAGACCTTTGAGTTTGCCTCCTCTGCCTGGAGGGCTCTTTCCTTACATATCTGTACAGCTAGCTTCCTCATGTACTTGAGATCCTTACGCCAAATCTCAGTGAGGCCTTCCCTGGCCTCAGGTATCCAAAATTACAGTGTCTCTTCACCCTGGCCATTCCCCACCCACATACAACATTGCAACATAAACACATTCAGTCTTCCTTCCCCACATTGTTTTTCTCCTTTGTTCTGGAACTAGCCACCCTGGGTCCTGTGCTTCAGGGCTTCTGGTACCTTACTTCTCTTTTCACACTACCGCTAAAATTCAGCTGAGATTTTTTTCCCTTTAATCATATCCCAAGCATGCTGTGAAAGATGAGGGCAGTGCAGTCTCCTTTCAAGTGTGAATATCTTGGGTAGGGGCTCAATTGACTGAATCACCCTCAGCTCCCACAACCTTTTAGGGATGGCCCTGCTTATTACTAACACATATTTTTTTCTTCTTTATCATATATATTGTGTTTATTGTCTCTTTCCCTCACTAGAATGTAAATTCCACAAGGGCAGGGAACGTTTGTTTCTTTTGCTTCTGACTGTATCCTCAGGCCTGAGAACAGTGCCTGGCACATAGTAGATTTTCAGTTAAAATGTGTTGACTGAATAAATGGACATTGTTCATTTACTTGCATTGTTCTCTATCTCTTTACACTATAACATCCTTGAGGAGTTTTTAATAAAGCTAGCTAATAAAATATACATTTTTGGATCACTTACTGTGGGCCAGTGCCTACCACAGTGCCTTGTATCAGGTTTTTACTTTTTTGTTTTTTTTTTTAATTTTTTTAAAGATTTTGAGAGAGAGAGCACAAGTGGGAGGGGTAAGGGCAGAGGGAGAGGGAGAAGCAGGGAGCCCGACAGGACCCCGAGATCATGACCTGAGCTGAAGGCAGATGCTTAACCAACTGAGCCACTCAGGCACCCCAAGTTTTTGCTTTTTTAAAAAGTAAAAATCTAATGACATTTTAACCATGTACTGAAACAGGGCAAAGAAATATTACACAAATGAAAATTCTTGTGTCTCTCACTCATTTATACAGACTTTTTAAAAAGCATTGCTGTTATGAGCCCTGTCTCAGGAATGCCCCTCCGTGGAGGACATCCTTTGGGGGCTTCACTTTTAGATGATGTTCCAACAGCCCTTTGTAGCTGATAGCAAACCTTCTAAAAAATAACATGTGGCAGTATGCAAAGTTAAACACGCACATAGCTTTTGACACAAATTCCATTTCTAGGATTATATTCTAATGAAGTAATCAGATAAATGACAAATGAGCAAAGATTGATAGCAATGCTTCTTACAGGACAGGAAACTGGA